ACTCATGTCCCGTGACACGCCCCGATTGACTTCAGTGGTGACGACTATCTCTATCCGCGCTTAAAATTTAAGTTCCTTTTGTCACTCCTCCCTACCGCTGGCACCTCATCCTCCATATATGACTCCCTTAGACAACTGCTGAGATGCCGAGGACTCCTCAAACTTGACTGTATCTCCCAAAGCTCTCAAGAGCTCGGATGCCAGCTGTAGTGCATCACCCTAATTTACAGTATCCTTTTCAGGTGTCATCGATACGTTTTGAAGAAGGAACCCCCAAAGTTTACACATACCTAGATGAAGTATCTGCGATTGTGAAAAAGGAGTGGGTCGAAGGTGTACATGTCGACTATGAAGTGAGTTTTCGCCGTATACCTCTGTTTTCTTTTGAAATCCACTTTCTCATAACTTTTTTCAGACATATCAAAAAATACTAGCTGCTGAAGTAGAAGAGTACAGAAATATGATGGCAGGACTGCAGAAGTGGAAGGAACAGATGAGCTTACGAGGTCAGCATCTTGTTGACTTGCAAGCCTTCGCTAAAAATAAAACGGCCCCATGGGACCTTCACACCCACTTTTTTTGAAATTCGTGCTTTGCAAGAAGAGAACGTCGGCATGGGACAAAAGTAGTTGAAGGGGGGGGGCAATAAAAACGGCACCTGAACCCTCCATAAGGCTGTGTTGATACTTTACGGCAATGTCGACGAGCGTTTCGAGCGTGCGGCAGCGTCAGTGACTGGGTAAAGTATAGATATCGATGTAGTGTCTGCCAGCGTCTACCAGCGTGCACCAGCGTCTACCGCGTCCGGGAGAGGAGACTGTGGAGCGATAGGGAGGTGGCAGACAGGACGCATAGGTGAGGGGCAGGGAACCAAAAAGGGGTCGTTAGAGTATGGCACGATAGGAGAGCAGAAGATAGAAAATGACGCGGTAGGAGGGTACTAGATGTTTGCTATCGCGCCATACTCTCTGGACGCTGATAGTCGCTACTGCACGCTGGCAAAGGCTGGCAGACGCTAGTCCGATACCTATACTTCCCGGGTCCTCGAGACGCTGGTGGACGCTGGTAGACGCTGGCAGACGCTAGGTCGATATCAATAATTTCTCAGTCGCTAACGCTGGCCGCTCGAAACGCTGCTGGGCGCTGCCGAAAAAAGTGAACGCAGTCTGATCCTTTCTCTCGAATTGTGGCTCCGGTCGATAGTTACCGTTTGAGCGAGATAGCGGTACTTGGGAAGCGATAGGAGTGAGCATGTTGCGATGACACTAAGTGGCCTGTGCTGTCCTGCATCGCTCTCTGCGAAGCCTGAAAAGGGGCATATGCACTTTTTTCCCCAGCTTCAGTTGTTTTCGCTGCAAGGAATATGTCGGGAACCACCGCAAAGCTACTTAAGACACAGTCTCAGAGAGAGGCCGCAGACAAGCTAACGTGACGTGACATAGCCGCCTCAGCGCGTTTCCCCACACCGCGGTTACCTTCTCTTAGCCAACTAAACTTCTATAATAGCTAAGCCTCAACAAACTATTTTTTTAGCAGCGGAAGACGGTATATCTCAAGAGGACAGCGAGTACGATGCTGACGTTTCTTCTAGCCTTAGTTATCATTCACTTTCTGAAAGTAACCCCATGGTCGCATAAATATTATAGATTTGTTTCACTGAAAGATGTCTATATATTGTGATAAAATTGGGTGTGAAATTTGATCAGATATTTTTTCTATGTGACAACTCATGTGACAAACTTTTTGATAGCAATGTGTAAAATATTTACTTTAAGGACGCTAACTCAAATAAATATTGATTATTAATGCTGTTGACTTACAAAAACACTGCTCCAGACTCAAAACTAGGTTTTCCTGCTGTATGCTAGCATTCACTGACTTCAGCTAGCCGCCCCAAACAGCCGTTTATTTAGTGAGCACAAAAATCTTTGCTCATGGCTGTACTCGAACAGCAGCCTAGGGATAGGTTCATACTTTGCGGCAGCGTCCACTAGCATTTCGAGCGTCTACTGGCTTCGAGCCTCCGTCAGCGGTCTCGGAACTGTAGGTATCGATCTAGCGTGGGCCAGCGTGCACCATCGTCCGGGAGAGTAGAGTACGGCGCGATAGAAGAGTAGGACAGTTGATAGTGTATGGGTAGATAGGAGGATAGCAGACTGCTGGTAGAGAGTATGGAGCGATAGGGGGGGGACGGGGCAAAGAA